AGGAAGGAAGGAAGGAAGGAAGGAAGGAAGGAAGGAAGGAAGGAAGGAAGGAAGGAAGGAAGGAAGGAAGGAAGGAAGGAAAAATATGTCCCTGCCTACGATGAATCAGTTCACCTTTAAACCTGTAATTCTTTGGGCTTTAATAGGATGCCATTAAATGCAAAAGGAACATGCTGCCATCTTGTAAGTTTGCCCTTGCATTTTGCAAGGTCAGAGTTCAGCAGTACCTTTCACATGGGAAGATGCAGTGGAGTTTACAGCTGCTCTGAGCTGCCTTTTGTCACCTTGGTGGTCTATGCTGTTCTGCTGAGATCTGTCCTGGTTCTGGTTGCTTGCAGATCTTTTCAAGCAGTCCTGGCATTTCCAGGTATTTAACACCTGACATGTGCTCTGGTACATTTCTACCAAGTGCAGCTTTTCAGGATTACATAAACTTACATCTAAAGGTCTGGGTGGGTTCATAAACAGCAGAATGCTTGAATTTGGTTTTATGAGCTGGTGTGCATAGATACAAGTGCTTCAGTCAAACTGAATCAATGACTGAAAGAAAATGTATCACTGATACGTGGATCACATAGCAGGTTCAAGTATATAAAATAAAATCTTGGTATTCTGTGAAATCATAGAGAGGAATAATTTTAGCTGCTTGGGTTTTATTCTGTATTAAATTATTTTTAAAACTGACTGTTTCTAGTAGCCACTGACAAGTACAATCTCTGTCTGCTAATAGTTCTCTTTTCTTTAGATCTGTTTTCCTAAGGCTTTTGAGAAAAGGTATAAGTTCAACATGTTCACCTTCATTTAAGTTACTGTCAGACCAAAATTTTCCATGTACCATTTGGCTATGAAAAAGGCTGCACAACATGCTGGTTTAGGGGAAATCACAGATTTATAGATCTTAGAGCAAAGGAAGAACACAATGTTCATCTAAACTGACTGCAGCCCTGCCCAGACCTTAGGTTCTTTTATTTAACTCAGTAGCTTGAGGTTGACCAAAAGTATAATTTTGGAATGACACTCAGGCTTGATTTAAAGACTCAGAGTGCTGCAGAGTTTGTCACAGTGATTGGGATTTTGTACCAATGGTCAATTACCCTTTCTCTGAAAAATGCCCTTTCTCTGAAAAATATATTTTCTCTGAAAAATGTGTACTTTATATTTTTTTGAACTCTGTTAACTTCTAAAAACTGGATTTTGCTGCTTGGCAGCCTCAGAAGGACTAAGGAGACTTTTATTTTTCTCACAGATTTTTCTTGTGATTAGTAGTTTATTTTTTTGCATCAAAATGTTAGAAAAATTTCTTTGTACTCAGAAACGCAGGCAGATATCCTTTAGACCCCAGTATTCCTGTGCTAAGGATCTGACATAAATAAAATCTGCCATCTTAGAAAAGAGTTGATATGATTATGGTACTTTCTATTTCAGTTACCAACCACTGGTTTATGATTAAGTCTAATTAATTCATGGCTTGGGTATCAATTCTGGTGAAGAAAGGGTTTTTGGTATATGCTGTACTTTTACTGAAGGAATCGGTTTTTTCTCTGTTCCTCAAAATACTATTTGCACCATTTCCTTGAGTGAACCAAACATGCTTTGCAAATACCTTGAATCTCTGTTACTTGTTTTTCCATAGGAAATTCCCTTGGAGTCATATGGCCAGATGATATCAAAAAGTATCTGGTCCATGGCCTGGTTTTGCCTTATGCCTAGGCAAAATCAATAATTATTCTAAGCCTGCATGATCTTCCTTCTATTCTTTTCTACTGAGAAGTTAAAGTACAATCAACATATTATTTCCCCAGAGAATGAAAATTAAAAAGAGTTTTAAAAAAGCTTGAGCACCAACCTGTGTCCTGTCTCACTTGGTTTCTTTCCCTTAGGAACCAAGTAAGATCAGTGGGAGACACTGTCAGTAAATCCTGCCTTGATACATTTTTCTAACTGATTTATGAGTAATTATTGTTCCTCTTTTCTCCTTAGGGCTCTCCCTGCAATGATGGAGTGGGTCCGAACTCAGAAAGCAGGAGAAAGTGGTGTGAATATTATCACTGCAGATTTTGTAGAACTTGGTGACTTTATCAGCACAGTCATAAAGCTCAACTACTCTCTGGATGAAGGTGAAGATGACACTACTTGATAGTACTGTGATATGTGTGTTGTTGTGTTATTCAGAATTTGAAAAAAAAAGAAAGATTGTATTCTAAAAGGATTATATTGTAAAACACTCATCTTGTAACACACTGAGGTGTTTAGGGCTTTAGTGGGTGGGCATAAGGGAAACGTTTTCATCATTTATGATCATTTTTCATATTTGTGTTTAATGTGAAGAGCAAAACTAAACATGTTTACAGTGTTTGATAAAAGAAGGCCATTTACAGGTTCTCCATGAGGTACCAAATGTGATTCATGTGTCTTCTGTGGTTATGAACAGTGCCAAGAAATTTGTTGTTTTCAGAGCAAGGGGATGTATATATTGTCCTCTTCCTGCTCACAGCAGGATTCCCAATGGTGTCAGCATTGCACCAGGAGACTGAGGACAGTATATCTGGCATGAAAATTTTAAGCTGCTACATTTCATCCATTAGGTGGTTTAACTGATCATATTTATCAATGAGCTGCAGGTTTAAATGCCTTTGTGATGTAAATCCAAAGTCATGCTTCTAATACATGCATAATCAGTGGACAGTAAACATGATGTACTGTGTAGCTTGCACAAAGCACAGACGAAATTTTGCTTGCTTTTCATTGTCAAAATGGGGTTTTCCAATGTCTCTGCCTCAGGTCAAGCCAGCAGATACATGATACTGGCCTAACTCTGTAATCACAGAGTGGCCTGGGTTGGATCCTTAAAGATCATCTAGTTCCAACACCCTGGCCATTGGCAGGACACTTTTCCCTAGACTAGGTTGCTCAGAGCTCCATCCAGCCTGGCTTTACACACTTCCAGGCATGGGGCATCCACAACTTCTCTTGGCAACATGTTCTAGTGCCTCATCGCCCTCACAGCAAAGAAATTTTTCCTAATAGCTAATCTAAATCTACTCTCAGTCTGAAGCCATTCCCCCTTGTCTGTCACTACACGCCCTTGTAAAATGTCTCTCTCCACCATTCTTGTAGACCCCATCGGGTACTAGATGGCCAAAATTAGGTCACCCTAAAGCCTTCTCTTCTCCAGACTGAACAATTCTAATTCTCTCAGCCTTTCCTCACAGGAGAGGTGCTCCAATCCTCTAATCAACTTCATGGCCTCCTCTGGGCTTGCTCCAGCATGTCTCTGTCCTTTTTATGCTGGGGACCCCAGCTCTGGATGCAGTGCTCCAGGTGGGTCTGAGCAGAGCAGAGCAGAGGGGCAGAATCCCCTCCCTGCCCTGCTGCCCACGGGGCTCTGGATGCAGCCCAGGACACGTTTGGCTCTCTGGGCTGGGAGTGCCATGGCCAGGGCATGTCCAGCCTCTCACCCACAGCACCCCCAAGCCCCTCTGGGCAGGGCTGCTCTGGGGCTGTTCATGCCCAGCCTGTGCTGATGCTGGGGGCTGCCTGTGCACTTAGTTTTGTTAAACGATATGAGATTCCCATGGCCACACTTCTCGAGCTTGTCCAGGTCCCTCTGGATGGCATCCCATCCTTCAGAACTGTCAACAGCCCCACTCAGCTTGGTGTCATCTGCTAATTTGCTGAGGGTTCACTCGATTCCTTCATCTTTGTCACCAATAAAGATATTAAATAACACTGGCCACAATATGAACCTCTAAGGGACAGCTGCTGGTGCATATTTTCCCTGGTTCCAGCAGGAACACAGTTAGGCCAGCTTTGAGCACTACTTCTTCCCAGGATTAATCTTATGTAAGAGCCTGATCCTGTATCCATTGAATTGAGCAGGAAAACATCTGTGTTTAGCATGGATTGAGCATAAGGTAAGTGAGTTGTGCATACTAAGATGTGCAGTAAGTATTTTGTCCCATGATAGAAACCTGATTTCTGCAAGACTGAAACTGCACTTAAAAATAGGTGCAGTCTAAGCTTCTCTTTAAGGCAGCTATGAACAGAACCCTTTTCCACTGATTACAAAAAATCAGCACCAGTTTCATCAGTGAGAAGTTCCTGTACTAAGTGTAGTAGTTCAATTCTAGATAATAGAGGTACTCTATAGTCCTTAAATTGTCTGTGGGATATCATACTGCACAACACAAGATTGAAAATCTACTGAGTGGCACTGTTCCAACAACAAAATCACTGATCATCCTAGTTTTAAAGAAACATATATAAAAAGTAAATGGAAAACTTAGTAATTGATAAAATGAGAACATTGCAACTGTATGACACCTAACTGGATAAAATACAGGCAGTCCTGTCTCCTGGACGTATCAGTACACAAGTACACAACTTTGGAAAGTAAAACATCTCATCTGTACAAAACAGTAAGTGCCATAAAATCTTACAAGGAAATGCTCTTTGAAATAGTGCAGGGATTTATGGGATAGAATTAAGGTAAAATTTCTGTTCATATTACTAGAACTTTTGGTTGAGTGAGAAGAGAGAATTGCACCATACAGGCCATTGCTATTTTCTGTCAGATGTTAATGACTTCTATCTCCCATCAGAGTTTAGAAATTCAGAAATGGTCATATTGAACAGATGGGTAACTATTGAACAGATAGGCATCATGGGGGGTTTGGTGGCTTTAATTTAGGGAGTGGAATAAAAAGAACACTTCCTGCTATTTTTTACTGAGAGGGTGCCTTGGAAAAAGTGTATGCACATGTCAGTGTAGAATAAGTAATAATTTAAGTGTATGTGTAGTATAATGACACATTTAACTGTATGTGTATAACACAGTATCCTTGTACACTTGCATAATGACCTTTGGGATTCTGGACAGGACTACTAGAAATTTGTTTGAAAAAAACCCATGCAGCTGTTATGAAGTCATGATGGCTCTTTCAGCAGCATTCTCCTCTGTATAGATTAGGACTGTATGAGTCATCCCCAATGAAATCTATGATCTAAGCTAAGGTTTTTTAATGGCATTTAAACTTCATCCAGACTGCGTCAAAAATTTACCTAGAGTCACAAGTCATGGTTTTGTTGAACAAGGGGTATGACTTTAATGCTTTCACCCACAACTAAGCAAGTTAGAGAGTTGCTTGATAGATTTTGTTTCTGGTTTCCACAGGCTCTCCAAGTAAAATTTATGTAACAGACATATAAAATGAAACATGAAAATAAATGTTTGAACCCACACCTGTGTGGGTGTTCTACATAGAAATGTGAAAATATTTGTGTATTTATTGGAAGTATGGTGTGAAATGCTCTTTTTTCCATTTAGCTGGAGTTGGTTGTTTCCAGACTCCTCCTGTGATTCTTCAGCTCCTTAAATATAGTAAAAAGAGTTAGTTTATCCTTCTAATACAGTAAAGTGAACCAAATCCTTGGGTGGAGTGAAAATTAGATTTCTTCTGTTTTTGGATTCTGGCTGAAATTCTGTTGTATCTGAGAGCATCAACACCAGATTTCTGCTGGTACCCCTGATCAAACACACACCAGACACACCAGGCTTTTCGCTTGCTCAGAGGTGTACTCAAGGCAAATGCTTTGCTGTATTTTAAAAAGTGTATGTGTGTGTGCCTGTATATATGAATAAGTATAGAGCTATCTAGAGTTTGTTAGCATTGTTATAAAATGTTTGCTTAGTGTCAGTTTTACTCTAATTCTTGTTTGGAAATAAATAGAAAATAAAAGCAAAGCAAAAAAAAATCCTCTGACAAGGAACAATAATAGACAAATTGTATCATTTGTCCAATATGGGGAAGAATACTAGCAAAATCTTAAATTCTGGTCAGAAAAAAAAATGTTTTCATTTAGCTGTCGATCTTTCTATTGGAGAAGCACAGCACTTTATGGTAGGAACAGGTAAACAAACTTGCCTTAATTACTAAAAGAAAAAAGTGCATGTGGGGATATACTATCCATGCTCTTCTGAAGATTTCATCTGTGAGGGCCTAAAACTGTAAGTCCTGATAGAGATGCACTCCCTGTTGATGTTGTTTGGGGATCTTGCCAAAAAAGAACAAGCCAGAAAGTACTATGCAGCACAACTGGACCATTCAAGAGCCCAGTTTTGCCACCCATATGCAGCTAAAATTGTCTTTGATTTCAACCAGAAATGTGCTTGCAGGGTTGGGTCAGATTCTAATATTCTGATCCCATTAACTTGGAAGGTTTCTTTGCATGTATTGTGAAGAATCTTGCATGGGAAATTAGTTGACTGTAATCAGCCCATCAAGGAAAAAACACCTGTCTACACTATTGATCTGTATAAGCATCTACTTACTCAAACTGTCATGTCACTCACTGCCAAAACATTTTTTGGCTTCTTCTGCTTCTTTTCCCCTTCACTATGTTCATCATGTATACATCGAGTGCTGTTGTTTTCTGGCAATTCCATGTGTTTACTTGATCCTTTTTTTTCACCCATACTTGAAAAATGGCGACTGTGCTGCACACACAGAGTGTCTCAGCTCTGTAAACCCACCTGGCTCCATTTTCCAGTTTGCACATGCTGAGACACTTCATTCCATACTGATCTAACCTGCAGAAATCCAGTCCAAACAGGAGGTGGTTCTTGGAGTGCAATTCCTGCCTTGTATGGAGAGGGGTGAATCAGAATCAGACCACAGGAGTGTAATTTTAGAATTAGTATGTTATTTGCATTCTTTTGCAGTTGGATACATTACTGGCATTGTAGGTCCTGCCATTTCAAAACATTCTTTTAAATATACACATGTATGTGTATATAAATATATATGCATGCATGGCTGAGAGGGAATGTATGATCCTGTATGCTGGGCTCAATCTGTCTGTCATACTGATACAAATCTAAACAGTTTCTACTAACTTCAAAGTGGTTACTAAGCCTTTACCCTGAGGTGAGAGTGAGCAGATAGTCACTGTGTAGTAATTATAGGCTGTGTTGCAAATGAAATTTAAAATTGTGGAGCTTAATTCCACAAAATAAAAAAAGAAAGCAGAGTGCCCTGAAAACACAGTTCCAGTGCTGTTTATCCTCAACTTAGTATATGAAGCACTAGTTACTAGCAACTGATTAGGCCATTTGGCAATTTCAAGAATTCAGGTAACACCATTTCAAAGTTCTAAATTCCTTTTCAGTGAAGTAAAAGCTAATAGTGTATGATGTATTTGCCATATCTCAGTGGTAGCTTCTGTGTTACATACAGTCAATGTTGTTCTGAATTGTATATGTTTACCCAATGATGAGGTTAAAATATGCTGTATAGTATGTGTAATGTATTGATTACAAGTATTTGGAGTTCAGTGGTCTATTTAGTTTTTACTGTGCTGCTGTTTCGTAGGTATGTGTGTAAATGGGATTATGGCTTGTCTACAGTGTACAAGAAAATAATAATTAATCCTAAAGGAAAAGGGCAGTTATGTGACCTGCCTTAATGCATTAGGATAATATTGTTAAATCTCATAATTATCAGTTCTGTTTCAGATGTTACCAAGGGTTGTCCATAGAGCTGACTCCCTCACTTTCTGGCAC